CCGCGAGTGCTCATCTTCGTGTTCTTTGAGTCCTGCAAAAATCAGTGGGTCAGTGGATGTTCGATCGGAGTGCAACTGGCGTTGGCTCTCATCCTGCACTGCCAGTTGAAAACTCCGGCGAAGAGAAGGTGGTGGGGACGTAGCCAGGATTTGGGTACGAAAAACGTAAAAGCTTTCGTTTAACTCGAGCAAAAAATGTGACAAGTGGTCACGATCGTGGATCTGTTGGTACTGGTGGAGAGTTTCGTGCGGTCCTCCGAGTGTTTCCTCAGTAGCATCCAACTCGTTCCAAATGGCGGAGAACCGATTGAAATAAGTCGTCACTGAAGTGTTCCCCTGTTTGAGTTCAATCAACCGCTTCCGGAGAGTATAGGTTTTGGCGAGATCAAGTTTCCCATACATCTCCTTGATGTATGCCCATATATCAGCGACCATCTCTGTTGGTGGGAGTCCGGCCGATACATTTGTAGAGATGCAATTACTGATCCATGAGTAGACCAGTGTATTGCAGCGGTTCCAGTGGCATTGGAGGTGTGGCTGTGGTGGTGGTTGGAAGGTTTGGTCGAGGAAGAGTTCTTTGTCTTTTGTGATGAGAGCTCGCCAGAAATCGCGAGCCTAGGATGCATAATTGTCGGAACCTATAAGGGTTTGTTTGATGAGGACCAATTCTGGTCCATCGGAAACCAGCGAAAAAAGAAAGTCGCCTAGTTTAGGGCGACTATTGTTGGTGGCTGGGATGAGGCGAAATCGGTATGGGTAGGGATTTGGATTCGTACCTGTTTGAGAAACAAATTCCGGGTTGTGACATGGTATTCCAAGAGAAGTTAGGTCGAGGTTTGTGCGGGTAGAAGAATCCGGGTCATAACCCGACATTCCATATGGGTAACGAGCTAGGTTAGGCCTAGTTTGTGTGTTTGGGCCGATTGGGATTGAACTGGTTGGGAGTGGACCGGTTTGGTTTTGATCTGGGCCGGTTGGATTTGGGTTTGCATTAGTTTGGTTTGCTGTGTTTGATTGAGTTTGAGTTGGGTTTGGATTATCTGCCATTTGCAGAAAAAAAAAACTAAAACGAGTTTTCTGTTTGATTTCAGGGACAGAAATGAGAGGCTTGTTTGTGCGGAAGCTTAAAGACTATGCTCTGATACCATGTCAGAAATTGATATGAAGATGCAAAGAGTAGCAGTTTAGGATATTGATACTGCCAAAGTATGCTAAGAGAAGAGAAAAGAGAAAAGGATTTCTGTATATTTCATTATGTATAACACTGTACAATGCTAATTTATACAATTTTTGTAAATGTAAAAATGGAAAATAATGAATACAAATACATGTAATTATTCAATCAATCACATAAATTATGGATTGATTGAATGACAAAATTGCTCCTTGATCACAACTAGCAGGAATCAAGGAATTTGTGCATTCCATATTTCGTCAGTTTTCTCCATTAATATTAATTTGAAATCGGAATACCTAATTTGTTGCTCAATATTCTTAATATCTTAAGGGGGCGTTTGGTTTAGGGAATGTTGCATTACTCAAAATGTTATATTAATAGGAAGATAAATTACCTTAAAGGTGTGTTTGGTTAGAGCTCTAAGAAGATAACTCCGGTTATTAATCTTAGATTCCGGACACTCCTACGTTTGGTTTTGAAGTAATAAAAGATTTCGGTAAAATTGTAAAACCAATAATGTTTACTGTTGGTAATATAAGGGATAATCAAATTACCACCTCAGATCCTGTTATTCTTTTATTACTAGGGGAATCCATATTTTATACCAATTTTGCCGTTAAACAAAAATCATTTCGGACACAATTGCCCTCAATAATCCATCAAATAACAATTTACCCAAATTGGACAAAATGACTACTATGACCTCATAAGTTAATTTTTTGGACAAAAAAGCCCCTCACTATTTATATGAATACCACCTAAAAACCCCAACCATTGTAGATGACTGTCGGTCGCTAGCCACCACTGCCAGTCACTGTAACGACGGATGACTAGTCAGATTTGGCTTGCTGTCCGGCCAGATCGAAGTCTGAAAACGGCCAGATGGTCGCAGATTTGGCCGTTTTCGGCTAGATCCACGACCGTTAATAGCCAGATCCATGGCCATTAATGGCCACAGATCTAACCGTTAACAGCCTCGGATCTGGTCGAAAACAGTTAAATCCATGGCCATTTGGCCGTTTTCGGCCTTTGACTAGGTTGGAAACGGCCAAATCTAGCCGATCGTGCACCATTCCGATTAATGACGGCAGTGGTCGGCAGTCGAAGTCATCTGTAGTGGCTGGGGGTATTTTGTTAACATTTAAACTTTTGTTTTTGGGGTGATTTAGCTAAATTCTCAAATGTAGGGGGTTAATAAATAATGATAATAAAAGGAGGGCAATTCAGTAAAATCCTTTGTCAATAATATTTTATTCCTTCTAACCAACATTTTAATTATTTATACCCACTAATCTAACCAATTTAACATATTAATATAACATTCTCCCGTAATCTTCAAAGTAATTTATCTCAGTGGTAATCCTACATTTTTAGTGATAAAAAAATCTCCGTGCCAAATGCAACTTAAAGGTTATTGGAATGTTATATTAAATATGTTTGGTTAGATTGAAATAAATTGGTGGGTATCAAATAATTTATATGTTTGGTTGGGAGGAATAAAATAATTTTGAGAAAAGCTTTTTACTAAATTGCCCTTGCTTTTAATAATATTATTATTAATATAGTATAATAATATTATATTAATTATAATATAATATTATTATATAATATTATTAATTAGGAGTAAAATTATAACAAAATTAAAAGTATCAAATAATCTTAGAATAACTGAGAAGGGGGTGATATTTAGATTATCCCTTATATAATCTATTGTAATTACTATTGGTATTAGAGAATTATCAGAAATCTTTTATTACTTAATAACTAAACATGGTAATAAGGGGGCGTTTGGTTGGCGATAATGTCAGATTATTGGGGTAATGTCATCTGATATTACTTGATTACCACATTTGGTTATCAAGTAATATAAGATTCCGGTAATCTTCAAATACTAATAGTAACTACTATTGGTAATATTGGAGGTAATCTGATTACCTCTATTTTCTTAGGTATTCTGAGATTACCAGGGTTATCATTTTTGTTACAATTTTATCCCTTATCAATGAAAATTTTGGACAATAATGCCCTCATTTTAAAATAAATTTACATTAATATCCTATTTCAATTTTACCCTTATTTAACTAAAATTTTGGACAATAATGTCCTTGAATTTAAAACAATTTACAAACCACTGCCACTCAGCCACCACCACCACTGCCACCCAGCCACCATCGCCTACAGCGGCCAACCACCACGGACCGCCTCGGAAAACTCGCTGGAGTCCCTAAAAAAGAACGAGTTTCGGTGGGAGGCTCCGGGAGTCATCGCTATGGCCGTTTTCGGCCATATTGATGGCCGAAAACGGCCATATCAGGCCAGATCTGGCCGTTAATGGCCAAAAATTATTCAAAAATTAATAATAAAAATAATATTATATTAATATTTGTAAAGGGGACAATTTAGTAATTTAAATAACATATCTACCAATTTATTCCCCATAACCAACCATATTAATATAACATACCCACCAACTAACCAAACACATTTTCTTAAAGATTCCCAGTAATCTTTCAAGGTAATCTATTTTTCCAGTAATCCAACATTCTCAGTAATCTAACATTCCTGAACCAAACGCCCCCTAACAGTAATATAAGATGGTATTATTGGAGTAACGGAGGATTACCTCCAACTAAATGCACCCTAAAACATATTATTATATAACATTTGAAATCTCTAACTTGAACTACAAGTTTCTAAAATGTTCGTAACAAGCATTTTGGTGAATAATGGGGGTTAATGTTGGAGCATTGAGGCAAGGTCTCACAAAGTTTTCTCAAAATTGGAATACATCTGAGAAGAACAAACAGGGAGGGCAAACAAAGTTCTCAAAAAGGCCGACTTCCTCTAAGAATTAGCAGGAATGAACGCTTTGTTTTTGCTCAATCTTAGACAAAGATTTTAAGGCATTGAATTTTTTTCCATAGCTATTCTGGATTGTTTTCTGCAATTATTCTACTTTATCTTTATCAATTATACTGTATCAATTATGTTGATAAGAACAAACAGAGATGGCAAACAAATGCTTCTTGGAGTAGCTTATACTATAGTGGATCAGTAAAAGTTAGGATGGCGTGAACAAATTATAAAGCTAAATACATTCTTAAGTTTGACGATTTTTTTGTTCAAATTACTTAATTGGCTGTTAGGAAACTGATCGACTTATAGAGATTATAGTATATACATGCAAATCATGAATTGCATTATAATAAGATAGAGGAACATGCAGTACGAGTTTCATCTTATTTATAATCGTAAAATATGTTAAACACAAAAAATTTCATTTATATTGCATTCATTTGAGCTGCATGCAAAATTATGCATCCTTGCTTTATGGATACATAACCTCAAGTCCAAGATATCTGCATTCACTTAGATTTGGCGAATTAAAAATTTATAAGTGAATCACCATTGAATGACCTGATGATGAAAGAGTAAAAAGTCTAACATGAGTTCAAGTCTCATTAGGCACTAATAGGGTGACCACTAAGGAGATTTACTCGATCGTTCACTTCAGGGTTTCGGAAGATTAGTTAAGGTATACACATGTTAGCCCAGACAACCCTAGTAAAAAAAAAAAAGAAAAAAGAAAAAATCTGAGTGGCTACAAATATTAGTAGATATTGGGAAGGGGCCGTTTAACAAACTCCTGCTTCAAAGATGCTTTGCAATAGCTAAAAAAAAGAAAAGAATCCGCAATTTTCCTTAATAGGAATCAAACTTGAAATAGATGATGACATTCATCATAGATTTTAAAGATTTTCTGAAATGATTTTTATATAAATTCTCTACAAAATTAACAAGTATTAAATGTTTCCTTAAACCCTCAAACAAAACCTAACTCAGGATAACACATGGATGGCAACAAAAGAGATGATTTTTCTTGGATCACTTGACTCTCAGACATAATTTCATCAATAATAAAAGGATGCTCCAGTAGCTTCTTCGCTGTCCACCGCTCCCTAGGATTTGCAGAAAAGCATTTCATCAAGAAAACTTTTCCCTTGTCTGACATATTTTCTGGTATGATTGGTGTCTTTTTCAACTCAGTCAATTCATACATGACAGTCTTCTCGTTCGTCCATTGCATAGCTGTTCTCCCAGTAAACATCTCCACTACAATACAACCAAGAGACCATATGTCTAATGCTGTATCAATCTCACCAAACGCAACAGATTCTGGCGGCATATAAATAGGTGTACCTCTAAACCTAAACTTGTAACAGTTTGGATTTAGTGTTTCATTAGGCTCTTTTGCTAATCCAAAATCTGCTATTTTAATACTATTTATCCCATCTTTTTGCGGGAAAACAAGAATATTGGCTGGTTTAAGATCACAATGCACATAACCCTTTTCATGAATGCTACAAAGACCCTTCAATATTAAGCGAGTATAGTGTTGAACTTCAGGTTCAGATAATTTACCACCACTCCTTATCACATCTAGCAATGTTCCTCCAGCTGCATATTCGAGATATAGATTGTAAACAAACCCGACCCTATGTTCATAGTCTATATTCGCTCCTAAACATTCCACAATCTCTGGTAAACAAGAAAGCTTCTCAAGAATTCTCCTTTCTTTTTGGAGTGAAGAAGAATGTTTCAATATTGTCGATTTCACAGCAAAGCAAGGAAAATTACCAAAGGTTGGAACTGCAAGATAGACTACACCAAAAGAACCCTTACCAAGAACTCTTACTTTAACCCAATCCATGGATGTATAATGATGATTATGGCTTTCGGGAACTTGCAAAGCCGCAACAAATTCTGAAGTTAGAGGGAAGATGTCAGTAGGAGGTAAAGAAGAAGGGTGCTGCATCTGGAAAGCAGTTGTATAAAATCTATTTGTTGTTGGATGAGCAAAAACTAAACTACGATTTCTGGCGCTTGAGTTTCTTGGATAAAAGAAGTGTTGCGTTTCATTAGAAAGTAGAAGGTGAAAGTGAGAGAATGAGAGCTTTTGAATGGAGATTTTGTATGTATATAGATTATAGAGTCTGAATCCAAGTTGAATCAGGAATTCGTTTCCTATTTTGGTTTCTATTTGGCTATTCATTTACTGTAAATATTATCTATATAATTTTTTATTAATCAATCCAGTACTATAGAAGCCGTGTGAGTCTCAAAGAGTGTTTTGAAGTTAGGATCGTTTCCTTTCCCAGTTGGGTTCTCTTCGAGAGCTGTTGATTTTTCTTATTTTAATTTTTATTAATCGTATAATAACAGATTTTGAGAGGGTTTGGAGTTCTTGTAGTTGCCTGACTCGGAAGCACATGATTGTATTCTTCATGCTATAATTCTGCACTTGATATTATTGCAAAAGCATTACAGAATTCCCTGTTCTACGTTATACAACCTAAGCTTAAAAAAGAAAAAAGAAATTCTAAAGAAACCAAATTTGATTAGTTTTTTAGATAAAAGTAGTTTGGATGATGTTTTATATGTTGGTTAAAAGAAACAAAACTATCTTAGAAGTTTATGAATGGTGTTGGCTGTTGCTCTTGCTCTTATACTCTTCTTTTGTTAATATTTTTTTTTTTTTCAAGGCTCTGTTTTATATTTTTTTTCTTAATATCTGCTTTAGCTTCATCCAACTTTTTACAGAACATCAATGCTTTCAGTAAGTGTCCTTGTGTTTCTTGTTTTGGTAAGTTTCATATGACAAATTCTGAGGTTCAAGTATTTCCAGTACAACGACTAGGAGATAGAAATATTCCTACTCTCATTGTTTTACTGCATCCATTAATTAGTCTTATAAATGAGATAACTAATTATGTGAACAAACATTAGTTTCAGGACATGTAAATTAAAGAAAATAAAAGATATACGTCAGAGATGCATTTGGGGAGTCTACAAATTAGAATACATTCGTTTCAGGGAATAAGTTCTGCATCACTCGCTTCACTTGCTTAATATGTATATTGTTACATTTGATTTATTGATTACTTTCAAGCAAATACATGTAGCAGGTTGTGGAGTTTGAATGCGTAGAAATTTTTTTTTGTGCAGATTGTCTATATCAAAATGAATCTGTTTAAACATGACAATCTGATGGATGATTGTCCCCTAAAAAATGTTAAGACATTCAAAGGAATTTTTACAGCAACAGCTTATCTTATTATACTCTATTCTTTTTCCCGAATTGTGTTTCCTCTACATGATGGATCTTTATATATACCTCAGCTGCATTTAATTCACCAGTAATCTACAACGCTCAGCTGTTATGAATGAGGCAGCTTGGTTGTTTGTGTTGAAGTATGAATCTTTTGGTAGAGGATGAAGATGCCATGGCATAAAAAAAAGGCTGTGGTGAGAAGATTGCAGAAGAAGAATGCCTCAGCATAGATAAAGATGAAATTTGGAACTATAATTTTAGATCGAGTCAAATTGTAGTTAATTTCAGTTTTACTTAAACTTCTTTTTAGTTATTGTTTAGTTATGTTTCAACTTTATTTAACTGTTATGTAAGTTATGAAATCTTATCCCTTTACAACTCCATAAAAAGGGATCTTAAGATGAATGCATTAAGGAAAATATTAAAATGAAATTTATTGTTTTAGATTTTTCCTTCACTGAATTTAGAAGCCATAGACTTGATTTTCTTGGCTTCTAAATTCCAACAGTTTGATAGTCAGATAAAATATTCCAAATTGAATAAAGTAGTACTTAAATTTAAATAATTTTTGCTAACGGGGCTTGTCTATCTCTATAAGATACATCCATGTATACTAATACTAAAGCAATTATCAGAGTAGAACCAGAGTCAATAGAAACAGTGAAATACTACATGTAATTTCAAAATTATAGGAAACAAAATGTACATAAATGTTTAAATGAATTGGTAATTAACTGTACATTTGAACATCATTATCAATTTAAAACTCTACTCTTAACTCATTACTGCCTAATCATAGTAAGAGAAAAACTTTCCCAGATCATATATTCATATTTAGTACGTAGATTTTCCAGAGGTAATGGAGGCTCAGAAACCCAATTAAACAGTCCTCACCAGTAGACTGATACTAATCATACACAATTGAAGTTGTTTCACTTTCTGTCATCTCATTTGCATAAGAAGAGTAAATCTGGTTATCTAATCACTTGAAGGCCCTGATAATTGAAACATGAAACTGAAGTACCCTTGATCTTCATGAAAGGAATACTCATCTTAAGTTCCTGTCAAAAAACTCAATTTCTGAGTATGAGGTTGTTCTTGTTCATCCAGAGGAAATAGATCACCAAGGTTCTAAAACTCATTATTTGGTACTAAACCAGGAAAAATTGCTTTTGTAAGAGTTAGTGTTAATTATTGAAGCCCGCAACGGTGTCGTTTAAGGCATAAGTTATGCGCTGCCGTTTTGGTCTTCATTCTTTCAATCCTGATCGTTAATCTGAGACTCATATCGTAGTTGTCCGATAAGATAACTGCAGAAACACAAAATTAAGTGCTCAGCACAGCAATTATTTTTTCAGAAACACACAATTAAGGCATGTAGATCAGAAAATAACTTAGATGTTTGCTTTCAAGAAATTAGAGATCCCAGTTTTGAAACAATGAAGTGTGCCTGCAAAACTGTTCTTGTGAAAGAGTATGAATTTCATACCAGGGACACATCCATAATGGATGGAATCAGCAATGCAAACGCTATTGACTAGGGAACCACGTGGACAGATGCAAAATTTACTCCTATAGAACTTGGTTCGGTACACCATAATGGCATTCTTTTTATCAATGTGATTGTTCTGGATGTCAAGTTCTTTGTCATTCTGCCATTTGTGTACTAGTTGTTTTCTTACTTTTGAATTGCGATAACCTGCCCAAAAAGCAAGGATACTATATGATTTGAACGACAGATTCCAATATCACACACTAATATACACAATAAAACGATAATTAAAGAATGCTAAGACCAAATATAGTTTGAAATATAAAACAGTCCAAACAATGTGTTGCCATATCATGAGCATACTGGTTCAACAAATTGCCAATAATCAAAGTTTTGTCATTCAATTTACCAAGCATGTAATTGCCAGTAAGCAAGGATTTATTATTTCAAACTTATGCAGAGTTTAACTTTATTTTGCATGAAGTTTACCTATCCTTTAAGCCAATGTTAGAATCCTGAAGAGCAAATGGCTGCAGAATTTGAGGGAGGGAAACATCCTTGAGTGGAATATACCCAAAATCATATTGTGATGAACACACAACTCGAATTGAATTCTTAATGAGTTAGGGAAGTCCTTCAGTGGCCTTGACGCCAATGTCATGGCAAGTGACAAAAAAGTGATGAGCTCCTTGATTTCTGTTCCAAAATGGGTACTTGGAAATTAAGCTTTCCACATACTCTGTCACAATGGTAGTCATGTTTCCAGAAGAAACTCCCTGCATGAAGAACAATAAAATTTGCATCAAAGGCGCAATAAATAGAGAAAGGAAATATGAAAACATATGTAATCTGCAAGGCCAATTAAATCAAAATAATACGAGTAATAGGAACAAGAAACAGAGCAGTATGCTACTTTAGTCTGTCAAAAGTTCAGTATGGCAACCTCAGTGATCCCTATTTCCTAATTCGGAATTCCAAGACACCATTCTATATTGTGTTACCTAAAGGGATGTACAGCTATATAAAAGGGCACCAAAATAGTATGTAAGCCTTCTACTGTACCAAAGGGATTAGCTATGAACATTAAATTCTAATCACTAGATTCTATTATCCATTAAAGCCTCAAAACACTCATCTTCCGCCTTCACGATTTCTGTTTCTGGCTTTGCACGAGCACTTATCTAATTGATTGAGAGAATTCAAGACTAATAAACTAGCCCTTTCTTTGTTAGCAATGTGAGATATTTCTCTTGTAAACTAGCATCGCACCAACCTCAATGGTGAAAATGATATTTCTTATTAAAGTACAAGACTCTGTATGCTTCTATTTCCTGCATTATCAAATATTCAAGATAAGCCCTGGCCTAATTGACATTTTGACAATCTTGAAACTAAAACTAAACTGTGAAGGATCTTAATTAATAGAATTTAAGTAATTCATAACTCTGTACTTAATAAAGAGACAATGAAAACCATAACCAATCATACCTTGCCTCTCAAGAAATGAGGATAAAGAAGAGATTAGCACTGTTGGGATCATTCGTCAAGACTTGATTATCTCGGATATTCTGAAAGAAATACCCTTCACTTGCATACTTCCCAGAAAGTTTTCTTGGTGTCTGGGTACACAAAAACCTTAAATTCCCTCTCCATTTGCGCATAGTCCAGCTTAAAAGCCTCCGGTGAGTGAAAGATTTCCCCGTAAATGTCAGAACTTTTACACCAGCCGAGCTTCGTAAACCAACACAAAGAAATATAATGCGAGAAAAAGAAAATAAAAAGAAACTTAAGAAAATGAGAAAATTAGGAGAATCCTGAACAGGGTTAACCTTCATCAACCAAAACGTAAATGGAAAGAAAGGAAAGAATTGTAAAAACCTGAGGAGATTTGGAGTTGCCAGATAGAAAATATAGTAGTAGGTAGATCAAGAAGAAGACTGGTACTCCTAGAAAGAAGGTTGGCCTTAAGCGTGGAGGGAGGCTTTGGCTGATTCTTTGGAAACTTTGGAGAAGAAGATATTTGACATCGTCGTTGAAACCTTTTGTTTTTTTTTTTTAATTACTTTATTAAAATATCCTACAAACTTTATAGAAATCCATTATATTACCCCAAAATTAGTGACGGCGTTAACAAATCCGTTAACTCTCGATAGAGAAGGAAATAAAAGTCCATCATGTTCTCTTTTTCTGTCATTTTCCAAGCTTACCACTT